AATAAAATTGTATATATTTATCTCTAGTATAAGTAGAGAAATCTAGAAGGATGTTCACCATCGAGCTTATAGTGGCAGCAGGGAAGGGTAATCTTTTTTTTTTTTCTGTAGTGGTAGGAATCAAACCCATAGCTCCAGTACCTCCATTCCCTGCACTCTTACACAAGGTACTACTAATAGTGAATGTTGCAGACATTCAACAGAAAAAGAGAAAAAAAAAATTTTTTTTTTAATGTATTTGACACAGGGTCTCACTACGCAGCTCAGATTCATAGTCATCCTCCTGTGTTCAGCCTCCCCAGTGCTGGGATTACAGGCGTGTGCCACCACACCCAGGGTGGGGCCAGCGCAACATGTGGAAAGAAGAGAAATATTAAAAGCTGTCAAAGAAAAGCAAATCACCTGTAAGGGGAAGCCCAGTACACTTCTCAACACAAACCCTCAAGTCAAAGAGAGTTTGAAGTGAAGTATCTGAAGTCCTAAAAGGAAACAAACTTCCAACCCAGATTGATGCACCCCATGCTTGCCTCTCAGAATTGATGGAAAATAAGATACTGCCAAGACAAAGAAAACCTGAAGTGAGGCAAGGTGGTGCACATCTGTACTCTCAACACTTGGGAGGCTGAGGCAAAAGGATCACTGCAAGTCCAAGACCAGCCTGGGCTACAAAGTGAGCTCAAGACCAGACTGAACTGCATCATGAAACTGTGTCTCTAAAAAGTGACAGAGGGCCAGCCAGATAGTTCAGCAGACTAAAGCGCCTACTTAGACAGAGTGCAGCAGTGACGTTCAACCCCCAGCATATTGTGCTGGCCCCACAACTGAGACTGGGCATGGTGGCACACTTGTAGTCCCAGTGCTTAGGAGGCTGAAAACAGGAGGATCACTACGAGTCTGATTTATGTAGTGAGACCCTGTAGATCTTGTACTAAATACATATAAAAAAAAATGTATCTTATTTTTCAAAAAAGTGACAGAAGGGCTGGCTGCTCCTCCCTTTTTGCTCTTGCTGCTTTTCCTGTCACTACCATGTGCCACTCTGCCTTGGAGCCAGCCAAGTATGGACTGAAATATCCAGAAACTGAGCTAAATAAACCTTTCCCTCTAAAAAACAAAAAAACAGGGGCCAGGTAGATAGCTCAGTAGAATAAGCACTTGCCTGGCAAGCACAAGGGCCTGAGTTCAAGCCCCAGCTCTGCAAAAAAAAAAAAAAAAAAAAAGATCCAACACTATGCTGTATATAAGAAACACATTTAATTCACAGACTGAAAATCTGACGGATGGAAAACAATGCTCTATGAGACAAGAACCAGGAAAAAAGCAAGAGTAGCTAATCTATTTGCAGACAAAGTGGATTTCAAGCCAAGACTAATTGAGAGAAACAACAAAAGGTCACTCAATCTTGGAAAAGGGAACAATCCAAGAGGAAGAGATAGCAAACATAAGCATGCACCAAAGACCAGCGCACCCTACTATGTAAAACAAAAACTAGCAGACATGAAAAGTCAACGTGTACTGACACAAAGGTAATGAGGTACCCTACTATCTTAAATAGATCAGCTAGACAAGAAAAAATCCACAAAGAAATATCAGAAGTGAACAAAACTTTTGAATAATGGGCTTAGTAAACAGATGTCCACAAAGTGGTCTATCTCGCAACAACAGAATACACACTGTTCTCAGCTGCACGTGGATGGTCTCCAAAGCAGACCACATACTAGATCACAGAACACACCTACATAACGGGTATGGTGGTGCATGCCTGTAATCTCAGCACCAGGGAGGCCAAGGCACGAGGACCTCTGAGAGTTCAGGGCCAGCCTGGACTACGAAGTGAGTTTGCCTGAACTGCATAGTAAGACCCTGTCTGAAAAAGACCAATAAATAAATAAATAAGAATATGACTACATAAAATGCAAAGGAAGTGAAATTTCCCCATGCATATTAGCAGACCATAATGCAACGAAACTGGAAATCAATGGCAAAAGAAATCAGAAGAATTTCATAAAACAAATGAAAATTAAGTAATACCTTCAACAACCAATGGGTCACAGATGAAATTAAAGAGGAAATTAGGCAGT